CATGTAGGGAATTAAGATAGGCTTGTTGGTCCATAAGTTTCCAACGAACATGGTCCATAGGTGGAACTCATACCCGACATCGTAAATGTATACTGGTAAACTCAAAGCTCCTAGGAACAGATCAGCAAACGCCATATTGACGACTAGAAACAAATATTTCTTGCGAATATTTTTGTTCTTCGCAAAAATAACTATGGTGAGTAAGTTTCCCATGACAACTAGAATAGATGTTAGCGTTAAAGCGCTGCACAGTGCAATGCCTTCCCCCTGAGTGCGATCATATGCATCATTTGTATCGTTTCGTCGGCTGACACAAGCAGAAGACGACGAAGACGTTTTGTTCATTTTGAGATGATACTGAGACAACGATGAAGAAGCCTGGTTGCAACATATGTTGTGCTCCTCTGTACTGTTCACTAACCAATTACGAATGCAAGCGCTCCACTGATTGTGACACCTTATTGATGACAGAGATCGCCCACTGAGTTGCGGAGGAGGAGGTTCTTTGTAAATTTCTCTTGGTAAGAGATATGACTGTAATTACTGAAAAGTAATAGGTGACAGCTGTCCTGCAGCTGTTAGTTAAAAAGTATTTATTTACCTTTAGCATGGTGCTTGTGTAAATGTGCGCGTTTGGTGGGCCATGGTTAAATAGATGTAGAGCTCTCACCGCCGTTTATTTATCCTGCAAACAGGCCTTGTGTTTGGATTTCGCCTTACGACACAGACAAGGGTGCCGTTTATGGGAAAAAAAACTTATTAAGAGCCCTGTTTATCTCAGTAAGATGTCGAACTTGGCCTTTTACCAATTAAACTTTTAAAATCTTTGCTAAAGAAAAAAAAAAGAAAGAAAACCAGCAATTCACTGAGCAAAGGTTCAATTTATCATAAAACTCTCAATTTCGGTTCCAAAATTGGACGTTCTCATTAAAAATAACTTTGATGACCTCGCTGGGATAAAAAAAACTTGCAATTCTATAGCAGCCGAGGCAACCTTTCCATTACATGGTGACCTGTATAACCCGCGTTCTGATTTAGAGGGTATTCCTCTCACCCTTTAATTCCTAAGATCTGATTATTAATTCTCCCCTCTAGCTACTACACATTTCCTTGTAAATTAGTTACAAGAATTTGCTGTTGGATCACGATAGCAACTTCTACTTGATAAGTTTGAGAAGGGAAGTTACATGTGGAGTACTTCTGGGAGTTTATGGGTTAAGTTAAGTTTCCCGATCTCTTTAATGTAAACATTCTTCGATTATGCAAAGTGAAGCATGGTGAGCCTCTAAAGGTCGGTTTATGATGGTCAACACCCTTCTTAATAAATCGTCAGTGACACTCGGCTGCGCCTCGTGTGCCACTTCTTTGTTCTTACCGCATTTTGACGTCATCTGTGATCTGTTACTGAACAGACCTACGGCAACTATTTGTTTTATATAATAAAGAATTTTAAAAAGTTT